ACATTTATATGAAGTAGGATATATTTTATTCTTTTAAATAACAAGGAACCTGAAATTTAGAAAAGTTTGTTAACCACATCACTAATAACGAAGATCCATAATTTGAATGAAAATCTTTGAGGATACAAAGGCCATGTTTGTTTTTTCCATTATACCATGTTGTCTCAATATGAACAAATAAATGCTAACCTGAGTGCTGCAAATTAAGAAACAACAACACAATGTTATATGAAAACCTCTTAGACTGATCTTGGAGGTTCAAATAAAATTTAAAATAAGAGAAAGACAAGTCAGATTAGTTATAGAGCACAAAGAATCAGAAACTCAGACTAAAAGTAAAAATTATCCCCTCCAGTAGGCCTCTAATGAAATTTCTCCATTTTCCACAGTCTACTTCCTAGAAACCTTGTTGGACTGAAGGAAAAAGTTGGAAAATAATAGGTTAAGCAAAAAGTATTTCATTTTAAGTGTTCGTTCAAACCAGTAAATGTGGGGAAAGAGGAGGGTCAGGAAGAGAATGAAAGAGTACAAAACCAAAAAAGCTCAGCTACAGGCCACAAGATTGGAAAAAGTGGTAGTAGAAATCGAAATGAATGGGGGGGACACCTTAGCTCCTAAATGATCCCAGAATTTAGCTGGCATTTCACCCACAAGGGAGAGTATGGAGGAGTTGGAGTGGGGGAGGGAGTAAAGACTATCCTATGGACCAACCCTGTATTTTTCCCTGGTTCAATCTTCACTCCGATTATTACAATAGATTATAATTTACTAGAGGCCCGGTACAATTTGTGCACAGGTGGGGTCTGGCGGGGGGCGGGGGGGGGGGAGGAGAGGGGCCGTAGGTGGTTGGCTGGCCGACCTCACCCCCTGGCCGAACTCCTGGTGGAGGGGACAATTTGCATATTAGCCTTTTATTATATAGGATTACTTTAAAATAAATGTCAGTGAAATTAAAAGCTAGATTTGCAGGGAAATTTACTCATGGGGAAAATTAGATTTAAAAAGCACATGCACAAATTCTCCTAACCCAGGTTCCCAAAAATTGAAGGCTGAAAATAAAGAATTCGATACATCGCACTTCAGTCCTATGTTGTTTAGTTTCTTTCTTTTTTTTTATGTTTCCATATTTTATTTTTAATAAAGTAAAAAAAAAAATCTTTTGCTCTAATTTAAATATCCCTTAAATTATTTATCTTATTGGGCACTGGGAACAATAGGTTTGTTGTTTTTTTATTTACTCTTATTAAAGATCCAAAACTACCTCGTTAGTCCTGAGCGCAGGTCACTCTGCTCTTGAAGTCAGACCACTCTCCTTTTCTAAAAAAACACTTTCACTGCCATTTTTGAAGTATTCTCCTCCCAAACTGGTTTTAAACAGTAGCCCAACTCTTCTCAATCTTGCTGACTCCAAAGTAAACACAGGCTCATTCAATGCTGTTATAAATTAAAAGAGGACTATGAAAATAATACACAGTAAAAAGTCTAAGTGAATAAATCTTGATATCCAGTTTTGTTTCTGATTCTCTTGCTAAAGGAAGTAATGACAGTATAAAGATGGTATGGTAGCTTTCATCCCAACTCCCGACTTCTAAGTAGGTCAGCAGATCTAAACCAAGGTATAATCTCAAGACCTGTCAAACTCATCTATTGTTTCCACTCATCAGGAATTCCAGCTGAGAGGCATCACTTTACTGGCTCCTTGCTCCAAGAAGTTCCCGTTGGGCTTATCCTCACACCTTGAAATAAAGCCTTTTTTTTTTTAGCTTTTTAAAAAAGTGTCACTATTCAGCCTTATTACAGAAGAAATTTGAGAAACTTTAGAATGACACAAGGAAAAAAAATGAGATAAAAATCAGAATCTAGAAGACTGAAGAATAACAAATCAGAATATAGACATGCAGGCAATGGAGCCCTACATAATTGTTAAAAGCAAACTTCCTTTCAATGAGACAATTAATGATTTGTATTGTCCATAAGAAAAAGGCAAATTGATTCATCTGGAGAAGTAAATATTTTCCTGAAACAGGTTTGAATACAATTTCCCATTTGGATTGAGTGATGTAATGTTCCCTCAATAATCTTCATAAAAAGGCAATAGCAAACCTCATTCAGCTGTTCATTGATTTTTAAAAGTATGGGAAAGTGATAAATAATCTCACATTATATGGCTTAAAGTTATAAACTTGGAAATTCGAGCTGGAATAATGAAATGGTGCTGGCTAAAACTACTTGTTGACACCCAATATCAGCTGCAACTACGAGATGAGATCTAGTGTGGGCTTGCAGTGAAGATGAATTTTCTAGAAGCAAAGGCGTGACAAATACACCCAGCTTAGTGCTACTTCTGTATCTTACATATAGTTATTGTTGCAGTTATGGCACTGTAATAATTCACAGATCTCTCCTGTAAGAGTTCCCTAGCTTTGTCCTCTTGGTAACCAATTCCTAGCCAGTGCCTTGTACACAGAACATACCCAATAAATGTTCAGAGTTGAATAATACTGATGTAAAGAAAGCCTAGATTAGGAAAATACTGAAAGTATTACAATGGAAGAAGAGTTACTATAATCTACAACTCCTACTAACGTTGGGGCAGGGATCACCACCAGAGAAGATTCAGAACATGGAACGTCCATGGCACTGAAAGCTTTCAAAGCTATCTTTGATTTTTTTCATAGAAGTACCTGCATTGTCACAGCATTTCGTATGCTCCAGGATTGGCCTATTCCATAAAGGCAGGAATATCTGCACTGGCTAAGTAGAATGCCATATTAGAAACATAATGCTTAAATTACCTGGGCTAGTGGGGATGTGAGTTCAGGGAAGTATTCATATAATTCAAGGTAAAACTTCTCTATGGCAGCTTTTTTAAATGAACTGGCTTTGAAGAAAACTGTTCTAAAGTTATCACATACTGCTGCCCTAGTAAAAAGTCTACTAAACACCACTGAAACTTTAATGACTGAGTCATTATGATGATTTATCACAGAATGTTTTTCAAGTATTTTCAGAGACAAACATATTCTAAGTTCCATTTGTTCTCTCTCCCTCCCCCTCCAACTCCCTCTTGCTCCTAGTGATTTTTCTCTGTCATCCAGATAGCACCCCAATGCCCCATTTTCTAATTTCTGCTATTATTTGTGCTTTGTTTTTCCCCTTCTTCCCTCATTTTCTCCCATTCTTATTCTCCCTTGCCTTTGATATTAGTAGGGCTTATTTTTTCATCAATAGCAATTGAGGGAATTCTTTTCCTTCTGCTTTTACAAAATGATCCTATATTCTGCAACCTTCGTTGTCTCTTGATTCTGCTCAGCTATATTTGACACAGATAACTTTTCTACACGTCAATTTTCTACATTTGTTGTTCCAGACAACTGAAGGTGCCTCTGGTTAAGGGGGGGAGGGCAATGCTAACAGGTCAAAGTATTATTTTATGGTTATCCTTATCCTTATCCTTACACAAACTCACTTTTCTTTATTCGCTTAATTTTCAAAGTACAGTACAGAAATTGTCATCAATTTCACTGCTCCTACATCAGGTCTTAAAAGATTCTGGAAAAAAGATAAGTTGCAGACCAAAAAAATAAGTAAAAAGGGGCCTTAGTAGAAACTAAAACTTCTAGACCATTTAGCATTAATGCATATAATATGCAGAAACTACATTTTTAGGCAATAAGGGTTTTTACCTAAAAGAAAGGTAATAAATAAGCAATCAACTTAGAAAAGCTGAGGTTTTTCTTCCTTTCTCATTGTTTTCACTTTGCTATCATCACTATAATCTTAGGAAAGCATTTAATAAATATAAAACCTTTATTAAGTCAACTATTTCTACTATGTAATACAAAAGGCTTTAAGAGTATGTATTCTCGTATGCCTCAAATTATATCTTCACTCTTATATCAAAATAAGGTAATAAACTCTGAAAAACATCCAAATTCTCTTTTTGTATGGAATTTGGATAAAAGAACCCACTGCTACTATCGCAGGGTAAATTGATGAAACAGAGCTAAAAATGCACCCTAAGCCCAGGCTCTGAATCTTTTTGCATATTTTAATATTAGGTTTTAAGGTGGGATTCGGGCCTGCTTCCTAGTTTGGAAGTGTTTGAGGTAGGGTGAAATGAAGGCAGGCGAAGATAATTATGATTAATGAAAGGAAAACAAAATTTTAAACTAGGCAACTCAGTTCATTTCTGCTGTCTCCTAGTGCATACCATCAGGTTCTTTAATTATGGAAAAATAGCTGGTCTAGGATCAGAGCAAACATCTGATGCAGAAAATTCAGTGTAACCTATAGAACACAATTCCTTTCTGTCATACAAGAGGGTATGGAAATGATTTGTTACAAATTTTTTTTTGTATTTTTGTAATGAAATTTTACCAGTTAAGATAGTAATGGCTCACATTTATTAAGCATCTAGTATGTGTCAGGTAATTGTTAAGAACTTTATATGGATTGACACTTAATCGTTCCAACAACCCTATGAGTTAGATATGATTATCATCACCCTGTTTAACAGATGGGAAGTGACCTTGAGTAATGAGTAATTTACTCAAGGTCACTTAGGTTCTACAACAGGGATTCAAATGCCAAACACCAGTTAGTACTTTAATTTCCATGCTACATTATCTCCCCACCAATATAGAAAGATGACTATGCCACCCCCATTCAGGTAAAATCCCACCTTCTGTCAGATTTGTCTCTTTTGCAGTCCATTGAAAATACATTCTGAAAGCATTTGAATATCATCAGAAGACCCAGTACCTCTAAAGCATAGTTTTGACTTAAAATTTAGAATATTTTCCCTATTAATATTATTTGTAATTTTTGCTATGTCTAAAAATAAGCATATTTTAAAAAACATCTGAAATATGGTAAAAAAAATAAGACAGAAAAAACTTCATGTTTTTTAAAAGAACATAACCAGTTAGTTGCAGTTCCACTGAAAGTATCTGATAATAAAAACAAATTTTAATTTTTCATTTAACAACACTAAAGAATGAGGTATATAAATGTTTTAATCACAGACTTTTACTGTATGCAATTAACTATATTTCACAACTAGCATCTTACAAAAAGGACAGTACCATTGTGCCTGTAAAAAGTACTGCAATAAAACAGAAAATTACATTATCACATGAAACCACCATATATCACAACTGTCAGGGTCTACAGTTTTATTTTTTTCTTAAAATGCTATCATGATGTCTTTATGTGATATTTTGTATCCAAGTTATGTTGTTAAGTTCATTGATATTGCAGAAGTCTCCTACAGGTGGCTATATATTAAGTAAATGGCTAAGAAAAAGCAGGAGACCTTAGGAGAATTTAGAAGTACTGTGTGGTTTCTAGGTTTGATTTTTAAATATAACATAAAACACTTTATTAGTTGTAAACAAAAATGCAAAATCTGTAGTCATAAAAATATTTTATTCATAACTTTACATAATAGTAAGTGGAGCTGTAAATATTTATTTTGGGATATTGATAAATGCAGTTGTGTCTGAAAATAGGGCACTATGATTTTCATAAGAACTGTTACATTTAGTAAGAGGCCAATTAAACTGATTTAAAACTAGTTTTTTTCCCAGTTCTGTGCAACAGTTGTCATTTCTGTATTTATTAGATTCATACTTCTATAACCCTGGATAAAGTTTGGGGCGAGGAAACAGTGATAGAACTATTAAGTTAAAGCTTTTCCAAAATTGCAGCTTTTAAAATATGGCAGGTTTCTTTTCTCTTCTGCTTTTGTCAAATGCTTATAATTATTTGAATTTTAATATTTTATATAATACAGAAAATACCAGTGTTCAATGACAATAGCACTAAACTTGAATTATAAAGCTAAATAATCAATGTTTTATTGTTTACTAGTCTGAGAGTAAACATTACAACAAATGAATGTTTTGAAAGCAAAAAAAAAAAAAAAAATCAAAAAAAAAGGAGGTAAAACCAGAAACATAATTCAGGAAAAAATAATTTAGCAAAATGTGTAAAAAATATTGGCAACGGTTCATACAAATTCTTTATTTAATAACAGTTTTTCTATTTAACCACACCAAGTACCAGCAGGTGTATTAAGAGGATAGCCATTAAGAAAATCCTGTTGCAGCAATAGTTGATTAAGTTGATCTTTGACTTGTATACATATAACTATTTGTTTCACAATTCTCAAATAATACATATTTAGGCAGGTTGCACTATGTTATAAAAATTTAACTTCGTTACATGCCAATAGTAGAGAATTCAAGAATTATGTGTTAGAATTCACTAAACTAAAAGTGAAAATAGACTTACCAATAACACTGCATAATGAATAATTCAACCACATTTTCATGGCACCTTTAATTGTGGAGACCAAAATGTTAAAGTCTGGAAATGTTTGGTAGGCATAGATTGCAATCAAATCTAACAAATTCTAACAAATTTCTCTTTTATGTAAAATGCAAATTATGAATTGTGCATGAATATGTTTGTCATGAAAATGTGGTACTTCTTGGCATAATCTGTATATCTGCATGATATGACTGAACTAAGAAATTGGAGAAAATAAACTTTAATGGGATTCTCCATTCAATGATGAGGCTTCTCCTCTAGGTGAAGATGACCTGGACATTCCCCTCTCTGTGTTATCAGGACTAGAGCCACTCTGATTGTGCTGATCTGCAGAAGCAGCACTAGATGCAGGCGGTGACTTCGTTTTCTCCTTAAAGTCTGTAATAATGACTGTCAGATCTCCAACGGTAACTTCCAAATGCTGAGCACTACTCCGATCCACATTTTTCAATCTTGGCCTAAACACACAAAAGATGATATAATTTTAAACTAGCCTTTCTGGCTACTAACTTTCTGTGCACATAATGAACAAATTAGGTAAGAACAACAAAATGAACATATCTATGTTTAAAGCTCTACATTCATGTGTATCTAGCCACAAAAATATCATTAAATGTTTCAAATCATTAACATTAATCAAACTACTCACTCATGAATCTTCTTCGTGACAAAAAACTGTGACACTGGAAGTAACAGGCTGGCTCTTAATTGTACTTTTATAGCTTTATCATAATTTTGCAGATAGGTTACCAATTTTTTTTAAAACAAATGTTTTAGAAGGGCAATGATATAGTTATATCACAGAGGAAGCTGGTAACAGCTAAGGTTACATTATACGCGGGGCTGTTACTCCATTGATGTGCATGGCTAAGGGCATCAAGATTGTCTATTCTGCCTGAACCCATGACCATTTTGACTGATTAAAGCCCATGCAAGTATCTGTGAATACTGTGAATATTACTCCTGGCTTTATGAGTGAAAAAGAAATGACTCAAACACAAATGTCTTTTAATCTAGTGAAAAAAACACACACATCCTCACATTGAAGCTTATATTTGTGGCCTCTGTGTTTAACTTCTAGTACAGTAGGTCCTCGGGTTACGTCGGAGATCCGTTCCCATGGCGCAAGGCAACGCTATTTTCGCCATTAGTCAGAACCCACCTACATAAGCACCTAAGTCACTCACATGAGGCACATGCACAGCAGTAATGAAGTGAAACAGTAAAAAAAATTCAAAAGAAAGATAACAATTCCTGACCTTTACTTGTGATAAATGAATAATAAAAAACAAAGCACATATGTACATATGTTGAAATGACGGAACTTTTCTTTTTTAATAAATAAACGGGAGATGGTGACATCATAACCACAAAACGACGTACGTCAAGTCCGACGTAACCCGAGGACTGTCTGTACACCTTTCAAACTACAAAAAACCCCCACCAAAACCAATTTCATGATACTTTACAATAAAGGAGATGAAATCTTTTACTTCTACTTTGTATATATTATATTAAAAGAGATAAAATGGCTAATTTTGTTATTTCAAAAGTACCATAAAATATTTTAAAAATTTACCTGGTTTTCTTATGACTGTTCTTTTTGCTAGTTGTTTCCTTTTCACTCTTTTCTTTTTCTACTTTATCTTTTTTCTCTTTCTTTGACTGTGTAGGGGGCACAAACTGCTGAGTAACCTGCTGTGCAACCAACTGGGAGACAGGTCGAGGTTTCCTGTGTGTATGTTAAAAAGAAAGTTTTTAAAAATTATTATAACTTAAGAATACATATTCTTTATGGGAAAATAGCTCAAATTATGAGACTAGATATATATTATAAATTTCAAGTATAAAAATTCTTCATATGCAAGGTAATTCAGAAGTGCAATTTAACAATTTAATAACATTGTTTTTCCAACCCAACAAAAGTTCTATATAATAAAAGCCACTAAGTGTCCGGTCATCCATTCAACCAATCAAAGCATGATATGCTAAGACCGCTCAACCGCTCACTATGACATGCACTGACCACCGGGGGCAGAGGCTCCGACTGGTATGTTAGTTTGCTGCTGGGGTCTGGACGATCGGGACTGAGCAAGATGGGCCAGACGTGACCTGGAGCCCTCCCTGGCTGGCCAACCTCCTGCGTCCCTCCCTGGCCCCGATGGTGCACTGGTGAGGTCCCTTGGCCTGACCTGTGCCCTCTCACAATCCGGGACCCCTCGGGGGATGTCAGAGAGCCGGTTTCAGCCCGATCCTGCAGGCCAGGCCAAGGGACCCCACTGGTGCACAAATTTGTGTACCGGGCCTCTAGTAGAAATATAATAGCTAAAAGTTATAGCCCAAGATATATGGTCAAACCATTAGAATATAACATACATAAATCAATATGAAATTATTAAAAATATGTATCAAACTGAATGTTCATAGGGAAGCACACATAAAAATGCACACAAATTTTAAAAATTAAACTTGAAAGTTTACACTGAAATAACATTTAATTTTATCCTTCCTCCCTCAGAGAAGGAAATATCTAACCATCTGTGACTATGACTATTTGTTTTTTCCTTTAAAATCTTTCATTTATTCACTTAATAAATATTTGAGTGTTGAAATTTCTCAGTCATTATTGCGCAATTCCTTGAGGTGCCTTATGTATCTAGCCACAAGCTCACCATGCTTTTTTGACCTTGGAGATCTGCCCAGTCTTTTGACACATGCCTCCTCATTCACTTATTCATTAAAAAAACATTTACTGAGAAACTACTGTAGGACCTGCACAGAGATATCTGAAATGTTGTCTGGCTTTAACCTTTGGTGCCAGTACAAGCTATCACTTTATAGGCCTAGATCAAGGATCCCTCCAGCTTTATGGTAGAACTTGGGCAACTAAAGTCAAGATTCAAAGTTAAGTAATCTCTAAGTTCTTAAAATGAGAGAGAAAAAGAAGACTGAGAAAGGGAAAAGGGAAGGAAGGAAAAAGTTAGGGAGCATAAGATAAAAATAACATTTCAACAGATGGGTCTATAAACAATAGTTAATTTTATTGTCTGGAAAATCCTGACCCTATTTTGGTCAGTAGAGTTACAAAAAAAACAACACTTTTTTTTTCTTTTGGTTTCTCTAGACAAGCAAGACAAAATAGAAACCAATGAGAAAATACTGCATAATCTACAATCAAAGCTGCACAGAGGAATCCTTTGAAGGAGGAAACAGGAAACAGTATGTAAAACAGATTTCAGCAGATGGGAAATTAATTTTGTTTAGAGCCTAAAGAGTCTTAAGTACAGAAAGAATATCCAGGAAAGATGTCCAATACACAAGTAGGGTTGACATATAAATCACGGTTAGTGATGTAGATTAAGAGTTACACAAATTAAAGTGGCACTGAAAACATGGCAAGTGATGGCTGAGCTTATTTAAGAAATGAATTTTTTTAAAAAGGGGGTTAAAGGAATGGTTCTCAAATTTACATACAACGGGATCACCTGGAAGACTTAACCCCACTCCCAGGGTTTCTGATTTCAGTAGGCCCGAAGTAGTGCAATAATTTGCATTTCTAACTAGTTTCCAAGCCAAGCTATGCCTCTGGTCTGGCCACCACACTTTGTGAAAAACCTTGAAAAAATGTAATATATTAGTACTACTGGAACATAAAGTTTGAGATGAAAACCAGGGAGTGGCAGAGAAATAAAAAGAGCAAGGCTGGATGGCCAGGCAGGAACCCAATAATGAAAACCCAGGAAGTTTGATTTACCCTTAATAGATGGAAGAGCATTGAAGAAATTCAGATTTGAATTTTACAAAGATTACTGGCAGCAGTCTTAAGAGGAAAGGTACAAAAGAGGCAGGGAAACTGTTAAGAAGCTACTTTAATGGATCGAGCAAAATTAAAAGGGGCTTGAACTAAGGAAGCAGCAGTGGAGTTATTTCAGACAGACTAAAGAAGCATGGTCAAGGGGACACGATGACTAGCCAGATGTGATTTTCTCACTTCTCAACCAACAAACATTCCTTTAGCAAAACATAGAGAAACCCTTGCCCTCCTGTAGCCAACTTTCTGTGGGTGGCATAAAAAAAGAAAAAACAGCCGAAACCGGTTTGGCTCGGTGGACAGAGCGTCGGCCTGCGGACTGAAAGGTCCCAGGTTCGATTCCGGTCAAGGGCATGTACCTGGGTTGCAGGCACATCCCCAGTGGAGATGTGCAGGAGGCAGCTGATCGATGTTTCTCTCTCATCGATGTTTCTAACTCTCTATCTCTCTCCCTTCCTCTCTGTAAAAAATCAATAAAATATATTTTAAAAAAAAGAAAGAAAAAAGTCTCTGATGCTAATAAATGCTATAAAAATAAAGTAAGGATCATAGGGAGTATTGGGGAAGGAGATGCAGTTTTAATTTTGTCTTGTTTCTACTTCTAAAATAAACTCCACAAGTAAAGAGATGGTATTACATACCACTGTTTAACTAATACCCAACACAGTACTGAAAAAATACTAGATACTTAATATTTGTGCCCGGCCGATGTGGCCCAGTGGTTGACCATCAACTCATGAACCAAGAGGGCTCAGTTCGATTCCTGGTCAGGGCACATACCTGAGTTGTGGGCTTGATCCCCAGTAGGGGGCGTGCAGGAGGCAGCTGACTGATGTTTCTCATTATGTTTCTATTTCTCTATCCCTCTCCCTTTCTCTCTCTCTAAAAAACTCAATAAAAGCATATAAAAATATTTTCTGAAGAATGAGTGAATAATAAAATCAGGTTTAATGAGGGAGGAAGATTTATTTTTTTTAAGAAAAGGAGTACAGTAATGTCTAAGCTTAGTCATTGTTCAGGATCACTACACAGAAGTAAACAAATAATGAAAAAGAGCAGCAAGAATTAATTTCTCTTTTAATAATGCTGGAATATAGAAAGAGAAAGCTAAAAGGTGTGGTAGAGTTGAGAAAAGATTTGTTTAGACTAGGGCCTAGTGAATAGTGAGTCACTTAAAACTCAAAGTCACCCCAAGATATAAAATGCAACTGAGGTGTAGTAATCATTTTGTCTCCACGTCATTAAGGATCTCTGAATCTATTTCTTCCATAACAAATGAAGGTTTGACAATTTCCTTTCTTACATTTTGTAATGTTGCTTCCTTCTGCAACTCAAAATTTAATGCAAAATAAATTTCCAAAATGGTTAATGAATAAAACTGAATTACAATAAAATTGCAAACATTCATATAAATTTACATTCTTTTGAACCTAGTATAAAATCCTGAAGTTTCAAGCAATCAATAAATTGATGTTATTCAGGAGCCATTAATACTAACTTAAAATATATAATTTATTTATATTCTGTTTACTTAATGCTGCCTTTAAGTTGATTATTTTTCTAGGTGTTTTGGATTCATTAATGACCTCAATACCCAAAAGCAGTTTTTTTCCGTAAGATCTAAATATCTCAATCATGGACACTCTAAATCATGAAGATTTTCAGGAATATAACTATTGTGCTGTGGTTAGGTAAAAAATGTTTTTATAACATGATCAATCACTCCCCCTTCCCTCCAGCATGTCTCCAAGTGGGGACCCAACTATTCTGTGACACTATTCCTCAACATTCTCACTCCCACTTCTGTGAGAAAGGGATAATCCTAATTCCCCAACTTCATGAATCTTACAACTGCTGCTTTTCATATTTAACAAGTTTTATGTCTCCAGAATCTTTCTAGGATCATTTTTCCTTTTATATGGCCCATATAAAATGAGTCCATTAGTGTAAAAATAAAAGCGTATTAGTAGAGAAGGTTTTGTTTCATTAAGCCAGGAGGTTGAGTTAAATAAATAAATTCTTTCTCTTTTTAAAAAACCTTGATTGATTGATTTTAGAGAAGGAAGGAAGGACGAGGGAGAGAGAAAGGTACGAAGGGAGAGGGAGGGGAAACATCGATTTGTTGTTCCACTTATTCATGCACCCATTGGTTGATTCTTGTATGTGTCCTGACTGGGGATCAAACTTCCAACCTTGGAATATTGAGATGATGCTTTAACCAACTGAGCTATCTGGCCAGGGAACTAATTTATCTTCTAAATGAGATATGAATCTAGAATTCTTCTAAGTGTTAAAGTCTCCGTGGTAAGAGCAAAATAATAAATATATACTCTCCTACAAGGCAAAACCAACTCAGAAAGAACAATTATTTAAACTGCTCAGGTGAGAGAATGGAATCAGGAAACAAACTAGAAGACTACCATGTCAAAATAGAAATGAAGTAATAGTAATAAGCATCTATTCTATGGCATAGTCAGGGGAATGGAATTGAAGCAGTGAATCTATTGACATTTCAGAAGGATAATACAACCGGGTATGTGCTGAATAAGAAGGATAAAGAACAACACCCCCTCCCCAATAGAAATAAAACTGAAAGAAATAGGGAATTAGGAAGCACAGTGCTATGGACAGAATATTTGTGTCCCTCCTCCCCTAATTCACATATTGAAATCCTATCCCCTAAGGTGATAGTATTATAGGTGGAGCCTTTGGGAGATGATTAAGTCATGCAGGTAGAGCCATCATGAATGGGATTAATGCTCTTATAAAAGAGGCCACAGAGAGAGATCCTTTGCCCCTTCTACCATGTGAGGACACAGTGAGAAATTGGCTGTTAAAGAGAAGTATGTCCTCATTAGACACTGAATCTGCCAGTGGCATGATCTTGAACTTCCCAGTCTCAAGAACAGTGAAAAATAAAT